TTCTGTATACCTGAAAGAACCCTTTTGGGTTAGTCTTTGAATCCCTTGCGGCCTTAGCCTCATAATCTCTTTTTGCTTTTCTTATTCCTTTCTTTATTTCTCTCCTTAATTGAATATATTGATTTCTTAACTGCCCATCCCCTCTTTTGATACGCCTATATATGCCTCTCTTTTGACCAATGAGATGTTTTAATCTATTGTCCATCCATTTGGGATCCTTTTTGTTAGATCTAATTTCCCTACTCGGAACAAAAGTTTTCTGGGCAGCTAGAACTATGCTCTGAAAAACGTCATATTGGCAACCAAGATCACCTACCTGACCCATAGTTAGGACATCCCAATTTAGCCCACCCAAGTAATTTTTCAGTCCCATGAAGTCGGCCAAGCGAAAATATGGGACAGAGATTTGATTGCAGTTATCTGGGTAATTCCATGATACATTGAAACTAAGTGATTTGTGATCACTTTCCCCAAGCTCACCATTAACCTCAAGATTATTAATTAGTGAATCTTTGTTGGCAAGAACCAAGTCAAGCAGATTGTTTCCTCTAGTTGGTTCTGTCACAACCTGTTCTAAAAATCAATCCTGAACCATATCAAGAAAGTCACTAGACTCAAGATTTCCTGTCATATTGTTCCAATCAATTTGTCTAAAGTTAAAATCTCCCATTATCACAACATTTTCATATCTAGATGTCTTATGAATTTCGTCCCATAACAGCTTACTGCACTCCCTATCAAGGTTTGGGGGCCTATAAATCACACCCAAAATTAATTTGTCACGTCCCTCGAGAAACTGAAGCCAAACCGATTCAGTGTTCGATGTTTCTAATCTTATATCATGTCTAAGACAACAATTTAAATTTTCTTTGACATACATCGCCACACCACCACCCTTCCTGTTGACCCTATCAGTGTGGAATAGTTTATAACCCTGTATGTTGCCTTCAGAAGGCATTTCTCTATCTTTCAGGTTGAACCAGGTCTCTGTTATACCAATAATATCTATATTACCTACACTTGCAAGTAATTTTAGCTCATCTATCTTATTTCTTAGACTCCTACTATTTGTATAGTAAACCTTAATTAAGGGAGCTAGTCACTCGTTGCCCTCTACTATCTCTCTTTGTTTGTTGATCAATTGGTCTGCCATTACTGTGTAGGCGAAACGTTTCGGAACAAATGTGCCTAACTGTTGCCCATGTGTCTTACCTACCAACCTGCCGGTATTGTATACCATTTTTTAAATCACTCCTACTAAGACTAGTAGTACACCTCACACTAAGCCTATACATACCCTCTGTGTCCATGTATTGTTTGTAACGGCTTGACAAAGCTCCTGGAGAATGAAACGTTGCCACAATAATATGTCACATTAGTTGCACTTGTATCCTTTTACTTTACATACTGTCAGTGACCCCTCACCAGCATTTATACAACTAAACTCTCTGCCCGTCGTCGAATTAGGAGAAACTTATATTTGAATAACTCAAGCTATGTTGTTTATGGTTTTTAGGAAATTAGTGGAGCCATTACTGGATGCTGGGAATAGGTTCAGTAACTTAGGATATGTGATAAATGGTTTCGAACTTATGCTGCATGCCTCAATCTATACTTTGGACAGAGGGCACACGCCCATGACAATTGTTCCCAGAATCTGGCCCTAGTTAACCATACCATATACGTTTAAAATTTAAAGCCCGTTAAATTGAAGCCTTCTCCAGTTATGAGCGAAAGAAAAGCGAGAAGTTGGAGGAAGAAAAAAGTTCTGGAACCACTTAAGGTTTCCATTCGAGGGACACTTATTACAAGTGCACAGTTAGAAGTTATCAAGGTACCAGGACCGAAACGTTTTCTAAAAGAAATAATGTCTTAATGTTTGCTCACATGCCTTTTTTAACCTAATTTGTTTCAGTTCCCAAGGTTTATACCACATTTCTTAATACACAGTAAGAGGAGCAGGGCTACAGTAAGAACACTTCTCAAGAGATATTTGTCTAACTTGTTTTACAAGTTTCGCGATTTATCACATCTATGTTCCCTGAATATAGGCTCATTCTCCCTCGCCAGGTTTATTATTTATGACTTCCTTAAGGCAATAGGGTCGCCAGTAAAGGATTGCACTGTATTGCATTTGTACTTTTTTTCTGGTGACTTTGGTGCTAATAAATAAAAAGAAATGTAGGTGATTTTGAGAGTTGAAGAGAACTGTGATCAAGGTAAGAAAAAACAAACTATACCACGGGCGGGTTAGAACTCACGATCAGAGTCTCAAAACCCAGATTAAGTGCTCATCAGGCTTTTGGTAAATAAGAATCAATATAACAGGGACAATATTAAAAGTTAAATTAACAAACTGTGACGAACTACTAACAGAAATAAAGCTTAACACAAATACTATCACATCAAGTTAAAGTAACCAGCATCAGTTAAAAGTTTCATTAATTTAAATTTTAGAGAAAAGTTTTCTTAAATCCCTGCAGTCACCTGAAAATTATGAAGCTCCTACCACCACCTCGGTGGTGGTAGGGCACCTGCAAACATGTGCCCATTGGATAAATGTTTTAATAAATTCTCAACAGAGATTCATCTCAAGGTGATGGTTCCTTGTGAAGGAGGACGGCCAAACAAGAACGCCATGCATACATGTATTACTTATGCAAGAAAGGTATACAATACCGACATGATGAAAGTTAAGACACATGTGCAACATCTGGGTATTTTTATTGTAGACTTTTCGCCATCCAATGGCTTTATCAATACAGATTCTAGGACATAACTTGAAGATAGTAGAACTATATACAATAGATGAGGTGATCAGTCCCTCAGCCTTGGAGATGGTTCTACTGTCCTCGGATGTCCTAGAACCTGTATTGATAAAGCCCCTGGATGGCTAAACTTCTACAACAAAAATACCCAGATGTACGTGTCTTAACTTTCATGTATTACTTGCTGCTTGTCTTATGGGCTCACCTGGCCTACAACTTTCCAAGGATATACATATTAGCTAATGATTTTTTTTTTATTCGCCGGTATTCTCCCGGCTCGGGTCTTTTCCAAGTAGTGGTGACCCGGCCTTGGCTCCCTATCTGGGGAGTGTCTCGAGACTTAAGTCTCCCATGGGAGGAGGTACAAGTACCTCCTCATCTTTGGGACCAAGTAAAGCTGAAGTCTGTTAAAGAGAGAGCTTGTTATATGTGATGTAAATGGCTTAGAAAAACAAGTTGAAGACTGAGACAATTATGCAACATTCTGCAATCTTTATTGCGGAAATGTTTCGCTCGACACTGGCTTCATCAGTCCACTGCAGTGAAGAACGGTGGAAGATAAGAAGGAATTTCAGGTAATCAGTTCCTCAACCTGGAGTCGATGTGTTTCAGGTTGCCTTACACTTGATCCTCTAATGACCAAATTTCTGGCCTCTGTCTCTCTCAGTCTCTGCACCCAACATCTGGGTACAGCATAAGTACGGCTGGTTGACCGTGAGGACCAATAAATTAGTGCTGAGCAGAGCACCTCTCACCTACCTCTTAATAATTGGAATCGCAACTATTGCTGGATTTGGAAGATGGACAGTTCAACTACCCGGTTGCAAGCGTAATCTTTACCGAGAATAGACTTGCAACGAAAAGTTGCAACGTATTGTCAGGGATCATCCACTACCCTACACATGCAACAGCAACAGGATATATCACCCATAATTAATTAAAAGAGCCAAGATTAGCAAAGCGGCGTCTTTAGGCCGGAATCACCAGGATGAACTTGAGAGAACATCAGCAATACCACCACCATCAGACAGCCACCTGGTAAACCATCTGATGGTCCAACAGGTGGTGCATCTGATGATCCACCAGCTGGCGAAGCTGATGATCCACCAGGTGGTGCACCTGATGATCCACCAGGTGGTGCACCTGATGATCCACCAGGTGGTGCACCTGATGATCCACCAGGTGGTGCACCTGATGATCCACCAGGTGGTGCACCTGATGTGCCACCAGGTAGTGCACCTTATGATCCACCAGGTGGTGCACCTGATGATCCACCAGGTGGTGCACCTGATGATCCACCAGGTGGTGCACCTGATGATCCACCAGGTGGTGCACCTGAGATCCACCAGGTGGTGCACCTGATGATCCACCAGGTGGTGCACCTGATGATCCACCAGGTGGTGCACCTGATGATCCACCAGCTGGTGCACCTGATGATCCACCAGCTGGTGCACCTGATGATCCACCAGCTGGTGCACCTGATGATCCACCAGCTGGTGCACCTGATGATCCACCAGCTGGTGCACCTGATGATCCACCAGCTGGTGCACCTGATGATCCACCAGCTGGTGCACCTGAGCCAACTACCTTTGGGCGATGCATACCAACACAACATTGCAGCTGGTTGAATAATATGGGGAATTAATTAGACTATGACGACTTCCATATTGCCCAGGAGCAAAATTAAACGAATATAATAAAAATCGTCACGATATAAGCTAAATAAAAAAGGTGGGATGGGTTGTTCGTCAGGATAAGCTAATGAAACCAAGCCACCAAGCCAAGGTGACCAAGCCAAGGTGACCAAGCCAAGGTGACCAAGCCTCAGAGGGTACTGCTAAAACACTATATATAAGGAATTGAAACTACTCGTCCATAATTGTGTACTGCAGAAACAGCTTATATATGAACACAGTTTCTCTCTGGAGAGCTGTATCAAGTTGTACAGACGATGCAAATGATTGTAGATGTTTTCTCCATAGAGAAGAGTTGAAAACCAATTAGATATGAGGTAAGTGAAGTCATGTGAGTGTGATGAATCATTGGTCTGTATAACTATGCAAAAAGAACGTTGGTCATTTACACTGAAATATTACCTGGTTTCTGATCAGCAAGTCCGACCAATTCCTGTACAATTCGGGTGCTAAACGAACCTTAGTTCAGTTCGCTGTAGAAATTAAAGTTAATTCTAGACACCATTTTGTTTCTTGTCTCTAAATATTAGGAACTTACCTAAGTTGACGATGCCAGCGACCAGTTCTATGATGCCAGCCATGAAGGCGAGGAGAACAGCATAGTCACCCCCGCCCTGACCGCTATACTGGTACGTCATGAGGGACATGATGGCTGTTGGACCGATGTTGAGCTCATTTCTCGACCCCAACAGGAAGTACACGAAGCAGGGAACGAAGGCAGAGTACAGCCCATACTATAGCAGAGAGAGAGAGAGAGAGAGAGAGAGAGAGGGAAAGCAGGTGTGAGGATGACAGTTAATAAAAGTCACAATAGCCAGGCTGCCCCAAATAACCTCCCAAAATTATAACAGACCAGGACAGACCAAACCGTCAACAACATTTCATTTTCAGGTTAGTTGTCAATGTGAGAAAGAGAATGTTGGTGTGGTAGTTAAATTATTGCCGTAGTAGCTCATGATGTCAAAAGGGGTCATAATGGACTGTCAGCAGACCACAATGAATAGTTATATTTTTGTAATAATTACAGCAATTCTTACAAGACTAGTCACTGCAGAATTTGGCTACATCTTAGCACTACAGTTATGGTTTCATAGATTTCAGTCAATTTATATAGCTTATCCAGTTTTTATGTATCATTAACATATAGTTAATGATCTAGTACAGAGTGAGGAACTAATCTATAGACATAAGCGTCGCTTAGGAACTCTGCTGGTCTTTATGAGACAAGTACCTGCGTCAGAAGACAGTTTTTTAAAGAAAATACCACAGGATAAAGAAAGTGGTTAATTGAAAAAGTAGTCATGAATGGCAGGATAAAGACGGTGGCTGGGAGAAAGAGTAAACATGGTAACAAGAGTAAGGTAGTGGCTGAGTAAAAGAGCAGACATAAAGGCAAAATAAACAAGAGAATAATGTAAAAGGTACTTACACTTGGAGGAAGACCAGCTACAAGACCGTAAGCCAGCGCCTGGGGTATCAACATGAGGCCAACGGTGAAGCCAGCGATCAGGTCCCCCACCAGACACTCTATGTTGTAGCTCCTGAGCCAGGTAAGGCAGGGCAGACGTCGGTACAGTGTCTTCCTACTCAGACACCGATCCAACTTGTTCTGACGACACCATATATGAGAGATACATTACTGGAAGAAACTAACACATGTAAGAGATACATTGCTGGGAGTAACTAATACAAGTAAGAGATACATTATTGGGAGAAACTAATACATGTAAGAGATACATTACTGGGAGAAACTAATACATGTAAGAGATACATTACTGGAAGAAACTAATACATGTAAGAGATACATAACTGGGAGAAGTTAACACATGTAAGAGATACATTACTGGGAGTAACTAATACATGTAAGAGATACATTATTGGGAGAAACTAACATGTAAGAGATACATTACTGGGAGTAACTAATACATGTAAGAGATACATTATTGGGAGAAACTAATACATGTAAGAGATACATTACTGGAAGAAACTAATACATGGAAGACATACATTACTGGGGAAACAAGAACGAACGAGAAATTCATCACTGGAGAAATTAAGGATACATAAGCGTTACGTTACTCGTGAAATTAGGACAGGCGAGATGTAACTGGGAAAGGAACAGTAGGTGGGAAGAACAGATAATATTTCCGCAAGGATGTCCTGGCTTGACTTATCTTAAATTAAGGAGAGTATATTAGACACGTTGCTAGTTTAGAACAAAAGACTTACATGCGGTAGAATTTCTGCTGCCGTTTTTGTTAGAAAACTTTAACCTGTGTCACGGAAACAAGGGTCAAAGCGGCTTGTCATCTATCATAACAAAAGCCATGGAAAAGGAATATAGTTGGCTCCAGTGTTTGAATTACATGTTGGACAGTGCGTCTATTTCCTTGGCAGTATACCACGTAAACAGACAAGAAGCAACTCCAGCACGTAGCGAGGTTACATTCCCGTCCTTGGTTCTCTTATTTCTGGCACAGGCTATGACAGTAGCCAGGATTCGTCATTCAGTGGACGTTGTTCGGAAGGTAGTTAAACTCCTAATCCAGGATAGGCGCCAGACGCTCTACTCACTTCCTCTCAAAATCCAGGACTGACCTAGAACTCATGGCGAGGATCACCTTGTTGTAAGGTTTGGTAGCTTCCACATTAAAATGGCAGTTTAGAGATCTTGATGAAAGGATGTACGGGAGCACTTGTTCAGGCTAGTGCTATCACCTATGGAAACACCAATTCATTAATAAAAGTATCGTATATGATACTCGAAGGCTGCTCAGATCACTGCCGGTAATCTATGTAAAAATGATACAGACTTATACTGAATACTGCAGGGACTCGGAAGATAGCAACATAGCTGTTATGCTGAGATAAGAACTGTGTACAGTAAGTAATGAGGTATATCTCTAGTTCCGATTCTGGATCACCATCTAACAGATGGAGCTAACTCTAATGATTTACGTGAAAGCGATACGAGGATTAGACTTGTATTCTCAAAGTGTGCGAAGCTTCGTGTGTTTATCACGAGAGACATTTAATTCGCCCATCTGTTGGACTTATATTACAGTTGATCGGACAGAATGTGAGCTTATATACAAAGTATCAACTTAAAAGCATCGGTGAATGTTCCTCTGAGAAACTAGATATCATAGGAGAATTCAGTAAAACTTCCTTTATACCCGTTAACTGGAAACTCTCTTATAGGAGCGGATCAGCTTTTATGAATCCGTATAATTTTTTTTTTTTTTTATTCGCCGGTACTCTCCCGGCCCGGGTCTTTTCCAAGTAGTGGTGACCCGGCCTTGGCTCCCTATCTGGGGAGTGTCTCGAGACTTAAGTCTCCCATGGGAGGAGGTACAAGTACCCCCTCATCTTTGGGACCAAGTGTCCCCAGGCCTAGCCACAGTCCCCGCCCTCACGGGGCTCGTAGGGAGAAGCTAGACCTCTGGTCTGCCATCTGCCCCGCCTCAAAGGGGCTCGTGGGGATGGCAGTCTTATGAGCTGCAGATGGTAGCAAGCTCAGACCACGTGTATTATATGTAATCCGTATAATCTTCAGCCCTTGTCTAAGTTTTAAATTATGTTCTAATCTTTATGTGACCCACTAATTATGTTATCCAAATTAACTGAATCGCCTTTTACACTGACAAAGAATTATGGCATTTCCCTGGAAAGCACCTGGAAATGCAGAGTCCAAAAGACATCCCCTTAAAAAAAATATCTCACGAGAATTATTTACCCAAATCTTTAGGCACTTCCCAGCTACAGATAATTGTAATAAATACGTAATGGACACGTGTCACATTGAATCGGTTTATGTGGAACCTTAAAATCAACATAGATCCCGACAGTTTTAGAGCTTTCCCTGAAATCTGATACAACATGGGCTGACCAATCATTATGTGAACCTGCTTTTATAATCTTCTCAATTAACAATTTCATAAATTTAAAAGTATCATCACATTTCATGTGAACTATTGTTACCATACTTGAGAAAGTTTATCGGAATCCATATGAAAAAAATGTCCATACATTTTATCAGCACTGTGTTTAAAAGATTTAGAAGACTTACCTAATGCAACTAAATATTAAATTGTTATACAATACCAACAGGTTGGCAAGTAAGCCATATATGAAAGATTTAGTCAGCTTTATTCCGAAATGTTTCGCCTACACAGTAGGCTTCTTCAGTCGAGCACAGAAAAGTTAGCAGGAGCAGTAGAGATGTGAATACGAGGTAATCAGTCCATCACCCTTGAAGACGGAGTTTAGAGGTGGTCAGTCCCTTAGCCTGGAGAAGAGCCTTGTTCCATAGTCTGGAACAATGTTTCAGACTATGGAACAAACTGTGGGAAAGAAACCATACAGCGGTCAGAGTCTCAAAACTCCAGACCGTCGCGTTAGCCACTGGACCAGGTAGGTCCAGTGGCTAACGCGACGGTCTGGAGTTTTGAGACTCTGACCGCGGGATCAAATCCCGCCCGTGGTATGGTTTGTTTGCAATCGTGTCATTACGATTTCGTGAGTCATGTGGGAAAGATCTCACAGAGATCATACCCACAGTTTATTATTAATAAAATGAACTACATTAAAGAACTGATAAACTTGTGATCCATTACGCCGCGCATCCCTTCCATAAGAAATGAAAATCTACGTAATACATTGAATTGCAAATGGTTACATTCACTCAATATTTTGTTGTATGGTTCTGACAGCACTGTTAATTACTGTGTGCAATATTTAGCTATTGTTGAAAATAATGCACTATTATATATTTCAAATGACACTATCATTCCGTTAATTTCAGAACTGAATTGCTCAGAACTTAGGAAACACTTGACATCCTTTAATTTAAATAAGTTGCCATCACCGCCTGTTCCTGAAGTGTTTCAATCGTCGTCTTAGCTACACTCTTGCTAGTAGACCTGAATGACAGCACTCTTGCTAGTAAACCTGAATGACAGCACTCTTGCTAGTTAACCTGAATGACAGCACTCTTGCTAGTAGACCTGAATGACACTAATGCTAGACCTGAATGACAGCACTCTTGCTAGTAGACCTGAATGACAGCACTCTTGCTAGTAGACCTGAATGACAGCACTCTTGCTAGTAGAAATGAATGACAGCACTCTTGCTAGTAGACCTGAATGACAGCATCTTGCTAGTAGACCTGAATACAGCACTTTGCTAGTAGACCTGAATGACAGCACTTTGCCCAGTAACCGAATGACACCTTGCTAGTAGACCTGAATGACAGCATCTTGCTAGTTAACCTGAATGACAGCACTCTTTATAACCCGAATGACCTAATGTAGACCTGAAGCAGCCCCTTTCTGTAACCCGAAATGACAGCACTCTTGCTAGTAACCTGAATGACAGCACTCTTGCTAGTAGACCTGAATGACAGCACCTGCTATAGACCTGAATGACAGCACTCTTGCTATTAACCTGAATGACAGCACTCTTGCTAGTAGACCTAAATGACAGCACTCTTGCTAGTAGACCTGAATGACAGCACTCTGCTAGTAACCTGAATGACAGCACCTTGCTATAACCTGATGACAACACTCTTGCTAGTAGACCTGAATGACAGCACTCCTTGCTAGTAGACCTGAATGACAGCACTCTTGCTAGTAGACCTGAATGACAGCACTCTTGCTAGTAGACCTAATGACAACACTCTTGCTAGTAGACCAAGACAACCTTCGGCAATGACACACTCTTGCTAATAAGATCGCTAGTAATTGACAGCACTCTTGCTAAGTAATAAAGGACCTGAATGACAGACTCTTCCATAGACCTGAATGACAGCACTCTTGCTAGTAACCTGAATGACAACACCTTGCTAGTAGACCTAAAATGACAGCACTCTTGCTAGTAGACCTGAATGACAGCACTCTTGCTAGTAACCTGAATGAAAACACTCTTGCTAGTAGACCCTGAAGACAGCACTCTTGCTAGACCTGAATAAACAGCACTCTTGCTAGTAGACCTGAATGACAACACTTTGCTAAAAGACCTGAATGACAGCACTCTTGCTAGTAGACCTGAATGACAGCACTCTTGCTAGTAAACCTGAATGACACACTCTTGCTAGTAACCTAATGACAGCACTCTTGCTAGTAGACCTTAATGACAGCACTTTTGCTAGTAGACCTGAATGACAGCACTCTGCTAGTTAACCTGAATGACAGCACTCTTGCTAGTTAACCTGAATGACAGCACTTTGCTAGTAGACCTGAATGACAGCACTCTTGCTAGTTAACCTGAATGACAGCACTCTTGCTAGTAGACTGAATGACAGCATTCTTGCTAGTAGACCTGAATGACAGCACTCTTGCTAGTAGACCTGAATGACAGCACTCTTGCTGGTAGACCTGAATGACACTAATGCTAGACCTGAATGACAGCACTCTTGCTAGTAGACCTGAATGACAGCAATTGCTAGCAGACCTGAATGACAACACTCTTGCTAGTAGACCTGAATGACAGCACTCTTGCTAGTTAACCTGAAAGACAGCACTCTTGCTAGTTAACCTGAAAGACAGCACTCTCGCTAGACCTGAATGACAACACTTGCTAGTAGACCTGAATGACAACACTCTTGGTAGT